TAGCAGTGCCCTGACAGCCACTTACTACACCCTAGCATGATGCATGGGCAAACAACTTCTGCATGGGCAAACACCACCACAAACTTCTAAAATGCTAATTTCTTAAAGGTTTCTATATTATTTTCAGGTATCGGCTCTGTCTCTCACTTCATGAGTTGTTGCCAGCAGAATCCTGGCAGTGGACTGACCTCTCCGCTGGATGCCCCCGCTGCCCTGCCTGCTCCCTCAGCATGGCCACAGGGATGCCCACTTGTTGATCTGGGACTGGCACGCATGCCACGCAGGAAAGATGGCACAGAGGTGAAATATTCAAACCAACACTAACAACAGTTGTGTTCATCTTATTTCTGTCATACAAGTCAGTGTGATACTATTATAGTTTTTATTAATATTTTGAATCAGTTTTATTTAAAAAAAAATTTCAGTAATTAAAAGATTTTAGTAAAATCTTTACCAAGTGTTTTTGCCATTTTTAGTAGTTTTAGTTTTTTTATATGTGTCTATATAGGTTTTTAAAAGTTTTATTTAAGTTTTAGTTATTTTAAAACATTAAACTAAATTACAATGGGAAATGTTGCTTTGGCAACTAGCTGAAATAAAAATATATATTTTTTATTTTATTATTTTATTTCAGTTAATATTTATTTTAATTCAAGCAAAAATGTTTTAGTTTCAGTTTGTTAATTATAATAAATAATTAATATTTTAAATTTGAGGTACTTATTATTATGATTGTTATTATTACTATGTTTATATTGTTCATGTTTTAAAATAAAGAATTTATATTGATTTTTAAATGTGTATCACATTTGTCATGTAAAAAAATCCTTTGGATAATAATTTGAATTTACTATGATTCATTTATTTTATTATTATCTACATATCAGAAAGATCTCTCTTTATGTAACTTAAGGTGCCATTCACACAGAGTGTATTTTTCAGTTGCAGGCAGTGGAATAAAAAACAAAAATAAAACTCAAGGTCTTGAGACACATTTTTAAAAGTTGAATTTATTTGAACTTGAGCACTGCGTTTTGCCCCTGTGTCATGTGCAAGGCACCGCAAAAGATGCAAGGTTGTAATCACAGCAATCAAAGACTACCTTCTAGCAAGTTTATGTAAAAAAGCAATGGAAAAGTAGTGCAGTTGGATCCAAGTTGCCATTTTGCATGATTAAAGTGCTTTTGTGATGTGATATTGACAGATTGATTGGGCTGTGAACATTCGGAAATCATGGGACTTCAGTGAGGAAGGAGCTCAGGCTCATCTTGAGGCCTTCCTGCGAGATGGTAAGACATATTTCCAGGGCACGTGTTTTAATATAGCAGCATTACAAGCCAATCCATCATTTTGCGCTCATCAGTTGACTTCATTGTAGGTGTGTACCGTTATGAGAAGGAGTCAAGTCGTGCGGATGAGCCCAACACCAGCTCTCTATCTCCATATCTGCACTTTGGGCAGCTGAGTGCAAGCAGCCTATTACGGGATGCCCGTGGAGCTCGCTGCAGATCTCCCAAATTCCATCGCAAACTGGCCTGGAGGGACCTGGCGTACTGGCAGCTGTGCCTTTTCCCAGACCTGCCCTGGGAGTCCCTCAGACCACCGTACAAGGCAAGATTCATATTTATAATGCCGCCCTGCATCATATTTGCTGACTGAAATCCAATACAGGTTTCTTACCAATTTTGGGGTGCTGATACCAAAAATACTGCCTGTTTTGCTCTAGCGCGTCACACTTTCTCACAAAATATGATGCGTTTTGTAGCATTTTTGCTTTTGACAACCATTTGTAAGAAGTCTTGTATTATCCCTTAATCAGCAGAAAAACTCAGCATCATCAAAATAGGTAATATTAGGCCTTTTTTTTATTAGCTGTGTTATTCCCGTCTAATATGCTTTTATGGAAAGTACAAAATCATTTAGGCAATATCATTTATTGCAGTCAGAATGGGATATTGGTTTCAAACCGTGTGACTTGTTGAAGAGAGAAGTGATATTACTTGATCAGATTTATAATTTTTGCCTGTCGGATAATAAAACGGGTGAAAAAATCCCTTAGACAAGCTATGGAGAGACCCAAACCATCATAGAGTTGATGGTTTGGGTTACTCTTTTTATTTAGGCCAATAAGCAACCTCATAGAACCCCCTAGCAACCGCATGTTAATGCCCAAGCAACCACCAACAACATCCTAGCATCTAGGTGGCATCAGAAAATGTATATATTTAGTTATGTGATTATTGTTATCCATGAGCAGGCTTTGCGCTGGAGTTCAGACCGTGTCCATCTGAAGGCATGGCAGCGTGGATACACAGGATACCCACTGGTAGATGCAGCAATGAGACAGCTGTGGCAAACTGGCTGGATGAACAACTACATGAGACACGTGGTTGCCTCCTTCCTCATCGCTTATCTGCATATTGCCTGGCAGGAAGGATACCGCTGGTTTCAGGTGAGACATGCAAAAGACACTAAATCCTTATTCTTCTAATGATTTAGTGATTTTTTTCTTTCTTGCAATTGCAAGTTTGTATCTTACATTTCTGACTTTTTCTTAATAATTGCAAGTTAATATCTTGCAGTTGCATTTATTAATTCTGAGAAAAGCCACAATTGTGAGATGTGAACTCGAATTCTTGGGGGAAAAAGTCAAAACTGTGAGATGTCAACTCGGAATTCTGAGAGAAAAATATCACAATTGCACGATGTGAACTTTTAATTCTGAGAAAAGTCACAATTGCAAGATGTAAATGAGTTTATAACTTGCAATTGTGTGATATAAACTTGCTATTCCGAGATATAAACACGCAATTCTGAGAAAATAAGTCAAAATTGCAAGAAAAAATGTCAGAATTGTGAGATAAAAAGTCGTAATCTTTTTTTAAATATTTTTATTTCTTGGCCACAATTAGCTTCCATAACAATGTGATGCTACAGCTAATGCAAAACCCCTAGCCATAAGTATAAATCTTCTTTGCATAACTCATGTTTTATTGAGGAGAGGCGTCATATTTTTCCACATTAAATAATCCAATAGCTCCCACTTGGGAGTGGGTTATTTTGACTTTTATCCAGTAAGAAACCACCTAGCAACCAGCCAAAGTACCCTAGAAACCAAATAGCAACACCCTGGCAAACGCCTGCAACACAGTGCATTGTGCCAGCGAGTTCAGCACTGGGTTTCTGGTTTGTTGATAGAGAATGTGTCAACTTTAGCAGAAATGACCATTCAACACAGCATCTCAACACTTTCTCCATTTTGCAGGACACGCTGGTAGACGCTGATGTTGCCATAGATGCCATGATGTGGCAGAATGGAGGAATGTGTGGATTGGATCACTGGAACTTCGTCATGCACCCTGTTGATGCAGCACTGACCTGTGACCCCTATGGCACCTATGTGCGGCAGTGGTGTCCTGAACTGAAGGCACTTCCTAATGACCTTATCCATAAGCCCTGGAAATGCCCAGCGTCAATGCTGCGTAGAGCAGGTCTGTTATACTATATAATCTGTTCACGATTATCACAGTTATTCATAATGCTTTGTTTAGTGTTTTATATATATATATATATATATATATATATAGTGGTCAAATAGCTGAAAATGCACAGTAATCTATCAATAATGCTGATTGTAGAAATCACAAATGCCTTCAATCTGGTCAATTTCCAGTTTAGGGCTGGGCAGTATACAGCAAAAATAACTTTATCGTGAAATAACATTACTCATATCGCAATATAGGATTTTGGTTATATTGTCCACCAGTATTCCCAATAATATCAAGTCCCATACATTTTCTTTTCCTAGCGGGACACTAGGTTAAATCACATTTATACTAAATCATATATATACTATCTATTCTCACTTTCTGTTCACAGGTGTGGTTTTAGGTGGCAACTACCCAGAGCGGATTGTTGTTGACCTTGAGGAGCAACGTGCACAGTCTCTACAGGATGTTGCGTCGGTGAGAAGGCGCTTTAGGGAGTTTGTTGACCAGCGATCAGGCTGTGACCTGGTACCTGTTCCTGCAAGGCTGGTGCAGGAAGCTCTGGGCAGTATGGAGGATGTTGTGAGTCGTGAAGGAACCGGGTTTCTCCTCCCAGTCATCACCCGCATGGAGTTTAAACACCAGTCAGAGGATCCAGACAGGCAAGATAACCCGTACAGCGCTGTGCTGAAGGGCTACGTCAGCCGCAAACGGGACGAAACCATTGCCTTCCTAAATGAGAGAGACTTCACAGCCAGCATGATGTGTGAGAACGCACAGCGTAGAGAGAGGTTAGAGAGGGACTGGTGTCTTCTGGAGGGTCTGCCTCAACCCATAGTCTCACACGGCAGGCCAGACGTACCCCAACCAGAGACCCTTACAGCAAAGTGCCTGGAGGTGTCATAGAGAGAGGTTAGAGAGGGACTGGTGTCTTCTGGAGGGTCTGCCTCAACCCATAGTCTCACACGGCAGGGCCAGACGTACCCCAACCAGAGACCCTTACAGCAAAGTGCCTGGAGGTGTCGCTGTTCCCCACAGATAACAGACTGACATGTTAGGGCTGGAATGCACTACACAACTTTAAGCCGACACCAGTCAACCAGTCTGCAGATTTTCAGAGTTGATTTCACACATATTCATGTAGTGTATTATGAGCAGACTCAGATTTTTTTAGCTTCAGACTTTGATTACATCTAGTCTGAAGATATCAAACATGTTTGATATTGACTTTTTAAAACTTTAGTAAATAAATACAAATGGCCTATTTAGATGGACTATTATTATAGCTCATGTGTTTATATAGTGAATCATTACTTCTCTAAGTTATCAGACTTAAGGTTTTTACCTGGTAGATATGACGATGGAAACATTTTTTTCTTTTATTACATCTAGAGATCAGAAAAACAGACTTTTGACATAATTTTGACTTGTAAGCAACTATATTAGGAAGCAAGTATGGTCCGTTTTGATTTCATGTTGGCTATATAAATGCAGCATGAGCAATTTTCTTATCCTGTACAAACACATCCATCATGGTATTGAAAACTGTTTGATAAAATTTAACATATTTATGACTTAAGATTTGTTTTCTTTATAGGCGTTTTATAAAACAATACTACTTAAAATAATTCATTTGCAGACATTGGGCTCTTTATTTTGTAAATTAGATCTCTGTCAGAGGCACATTTGGCATCAAAAGCAAGATTTCTAATGCAATAAAACCATTTAAAACCGATAAGTGTTTAGATGTTTAATGTTGTTAATCACTAACTCAGTTATGAGTTCTTTAAAACCAAGACCGATTTCACCAGGTTTCATAGCTGTCCTCAGAATGGACATTTGGTGTTATTCCCCCTTCCACATTTTATTTGTAGCTTATTCCAAGCAATGACAAGCTTTTACAGGAACAGTGTAACATCTACAAAAGAGATGAAACTGTTACATAGTCTGTGTCTCTGTGGCTACATACAGTAACTGGCTCAATCCAATCAGGTTTGCTTGTTGCTTTCCAAGCGAAGTGCATATTGTTGTGTCCATGTGGTCCCCTTCTGTGGCTGGGTGTGGGTGGATGGGAAAATGTAATTTAAGAGAACATCTAAACTAAATCAACTACTATAAACATTCCTTAATTGATTGTTTTTAAATTCTCCCCCATATGCAACATGCCAGCAGCACGCTCTAGTCCTCTATAGATTTGATGTATCTCTCATAAGCAGCTTCATCCATCAGTCCATCCAATTCCTCAGGAATAGATACAGTCATCTTTATCAGCCAGCCTGTGAACAAAACAGACACTTACTGATGACAAAATGTACATTTTTTGAGAGGCCATCCAAGATGTACGCCCAAAAAACAAACAAACAAACAAAAAAAATTATAAAAAAAAAAAAAAAAAAAAAAAAAGTCATCTCGTCTGAATCAGGAGAAAAATATACACCTTTGCATTTTGATGTGAGAGAACAACAGTTGACGGACTTTTTCACTGGAGGAGCGTATTAAATCGTATTTTTTATTTAAAATTAGAACATCTTAATGATGGATTTGTTTCTTACAAACACGCAGCTTTTCGCTTCACATGACTGATGGTGATAACTGTGATGCTTTTATCAGCTGTTTGGACTCTCATTCTGACGGCACCCATTCACTGCAGAGCATCCATTGGTGAACAAGTGATGTAATGCTAAATTTCTCCAAATCTGTTCTGATGAAGAAACTAACTCATCCATATCTTGGATGGCTTGAGGGTGGGTTCATCTTCATATTTGGGTGAACTATTCCTTTAAGTTGAAAGATCCCAGGCTAGTTTGAGTCAAAATGAGATTGTAATGTCTCACCATCTTTATAGCAAGATTTGTTGACAAGTCCTGGGTTGTCCGCCAAGGCGTCATTGACATCTGTCACCTCCCCCGTCAGAGGAGAGTACAACTCACTCGCTGCTTTAACACTCTCCAGAGCACCAAATTCATCTACAGTACAGATAACAATACATAAAATAATAATTGATTCTAATATTTGCTTGATTTACAACAAATAACTGCATTTTGTAACATATAACTGTATCCTACTTTACAGAACAAGTTTTTCAAAAGCAGTATTCTCCAGAGCAAGAGTAGTTACCAGACTGTGCCAACTTTGTGCCAACTTCAGGAAGCCCACAGTAGACCACGTCCCCCAGTGCCTCCTGGGAACATTACATTATAAACACATGACAATACATCCTATATGGTCCAAAAAACACCTCTTCCTACAACAATTAAGTCTTAATAATCAGTCTAACCTGTGCAAAATTACTGATGCCCACTGTTGCCACACCACTGTCCACGCGAACCCACTCGTGTTTGTCTGTGAAGTTCAGTGCTGCAGAATGACAGAGAAAACGGATTTGCTGGGGTCACAGGCGGATAAAGGTGTAGAGCAACAAGTATAACTGTGCAAGTAAAGATGCATTTAAACGTGCATGTAATATAGTTAATTCATTCTGAGTTTATCACTACCGTAGCATGTGAATGACTGCAGCATAAGTGCACAAACAGACGGATCTAAACTTTCACGCGAGTCGCCTGTACACATTCATAAGTTTGAATACCTGCGCAAAATCGAGTGGTGGTGCTCAGGGCTCTTTTATAGCATGTCCTCGCGAGCAGTCTAGCTGGAGTCCGAGCGTTTCTGTTTGACAGTCGAGGCAGAGAGGAGGTCAAACTAACAGAAGCACGTCGTAATATTGTGCACATCGCCATTATTCCCCGCACGCAAACATTAAAGGACGCCGGCGCGCCTTGATGATGTCATTATTCGAATGGCCTAGGCGCGCCAAAGCGGTGCTTTGAGTGAGGTGTGTGTTTGTGTTAGCGTTGGAGGGAAAATGTATTCTAGTGAAAATCTAGTGAATCATTTGTCTTATATATGTCTATCAGTGGTGTAGTCGGGGCCATACGCAAGTATACGCCGTATGCTTACTTTTTTCCCCGGGATGTTTGCGTATTACGACTTCTAAGGATCAATATTCGCGTAT